GAGATAACAAGATAATTAACTTAGATAACAAAATTGTTATCTTGAAATAAAAAGTTACTTATCTTGTTATCTATAGATAACAAAAGTTGTTTTCTTAAGATAATAAGATTTAGATAACAAAATTGCTATCTTGAAATAACGAATTACTTATCTTGTTATCCCTAGATAACAATTATAGCAACAGCTCATGGCCTCTCTGGACTTCCGTACTTTTAGCTATTTAATACTTTATTAATAGGCTCACTCATTAGCAAACAACCTAAAAGTTATAGATGTTAGAACAAGTTTTACAATGTAATTTAATGTGTACAGTGATATAGTACAGTACGCTATAGTAGGTGTGTCATGTAGTATTATTTAGTATGGGTGTAGTGTATTATGTAAATAATATATGTTTGTGGCACAATTACACATGTGCCAACCAACCCCAAAGTCAATCTACCAACCAGCCCCACCCACATCAGGACACAACCATGTATTCACTTTATGTTAGCATTACTTCTCATCGGCTTATGCATCATATATCAATATATAGCTGATTGTCATTACCTAAAATGGATATATTGTCAGTATCTCTCTTTAAAACATTTGTATAATATAAATAATCAAACATAATCCCCACTTTAACAGATTATAATATTCAGAGCTCTTGACAACATGGATGAATTTTGGTCATTGTTTATGTTACATTTTTGAGAGCTTCCCTTTTTGACCCAGAAGTTCATCGTTCTGCTCTACAGAGCTATACGGCAAAAGTGCTGTGTTCCAAGATGAGGGCCACTTCTGGAAAGTGATACTGTGGCATTAATTCACTGACCGTTGGAGCCGGTCATTAAGAGTGTTCCGTCATTCTTGCCAACGCTGTGCTCAATAACTTCATTTGACTCCTGCTATAATGTGCTCCTCTACAATACACTGTTTACTGCATTGCCTTTTTCACACCACTAATGAGGCATTCACTGCCTGAGACATTAATGGGACATTAATTGCTTAAAGTCTCTTGATGCTTATTTTATTGTCTTATTATAATGGATTTTGTACTAGACTCCATTGTAAGTTCCTTTGTTTTGAGGTGTGTTAGAGCTGCTATTAAAAATAAGCATTGTAGTACATGTAGAAAACATGCTGCTGTGCGGGAAAACATAACTGAACTGTAGGTAAGTTATATTACATTTGAAGAGTTTCTCGAGTCTCTAATATAAACTATGACAAAAATGACCTTTTTAATTGATGAATAATGTACTAAGCATATGATGATCAGTTATTAATCTCAGTGTTACTGAGCTCTGCTAAAGCCTGAGTAGACCGATAAATCAATGTGATCAGTTATTAATCTCAGCGTTACTGAGCTCTGCTAAAGCCTGAGTAGACTGATAAATCAATATGATGATCAGTTATTAATCTCAGCGTTACTGAGCTTTGCTAAAGCCTGAGTAGACTGATAAATCAATATGATGATCAGTTATTAATCTCAGCGTTACTGAGCTCTGCTAAAGCCTGAGTAGACTGATAAATCAATGTGATCAGTTATTAATCTCAGCGTTACTGAGCTCTGCTAAAGCCTGAGTAGACTGATAAATCGATGTGATCAGTTATTAATCTCAGCGTTACTGAGCTCTGCTAAAGCCTGAGTAGACTGATAAATCGATGTGATCGGTTATTAATCTCAGTGTTACTGAGCTCTTTGAAGGGATGATTGAACCAAACAGTCTCCTCAGTAGTGATTATGTTCACGAGTGATAAGCTAAGCATCGATGTTGTGCTTGACTCCTGAAGTCCAGGCTTCTAGAGCCCTCTGGCCAATCACAGTGTTTTACTGTGTGCTCTGAGTATCTTGACCAATCACAGCTCCAAATGAGTGTTTCTGGGGGTGTTTTTATAAATCACAGTTCTTGTAAACCAATAAGAGTCAAGTATTTAGATCAAAATAATGCAGAGCAATTTTTCTCTGTCCCATTATTGATCCGCCAGTGTGTTTTATTGTATATGTAGGAATATAATCACAGTACTACTATGTTGTCCACGTTGTGTAGCCCTATTTAATAGGATTAGATTTGGCTACATTAGCTTGCGCATTGATAAACCCTTTTGTTTCCAATGTGTTGTTTTTGGACCGGAGCTCCAACAGGCTCCGCATGAGAAATACGGGGGAATGTGCAAAATGATCTACGACAACCTGCAGCACAATGGAGTCCTAATTAATCAGCTTCCTGCTGTTGTATTTACGAATAGCGTGAAGCTTTTTTTCAGACGCGTGCAAAGTACTGCAGAGGGAAACACTAACAGCGATGAATAAATGAAGTGGCTGCGAAGCCCATAAAAGCCCAACAGTTACAGCGACTGCCGTAGCTATTCAGTCTGTCATGAATGTGAAACTGTGAACTACAGTCTAATCAACTTTTAACCATGAAGAATCCTTTCATGCTTCAGAGGTGCCTCACAATCTGTGAGCCGTTAGCTAAACCAACATCACAATCGCAAGCATCTCTTGGTTGTTTTAGAAACATCTGGAGCAGCAGTTTGACATTTTATGAACGGAATCTGTTGTTACATGTGCACAGAGTCAACTGAACTCATGAATAGTGTAGTTTTTTCTCTCTACATGAGGTTTGAAGATGAGCTTCAGGCCACAGAGTTTAAATTAACTGTGTGAGGCCAAAGCCAAGAAGTTCAGTGAGCAAAAAGTATTTCATACAACTCCAAACGCTGAGATGCAGGGTTTAATTTGTGAAAGATGAGGTTCCAGAACACTGAGAAGTGATGAAACCGGCAGGCTGATGGGGTGCGCTTGTGTGTGTGAAAGGAAAAGGGCATCGATCAGTACAGGGTTTCAACATTATGTTGGATCTTACTACTAACGAGTGTGTTAACGAGGCTCCTAAGCATTGAATGAACGTTCTCTCAACTAACAGCTTCTGGTAATATGACTTTCTGTATGAGTAGTAGGGATAAAAAAAGCCCAAACCACAAACATGAACTTGCAAAATATGTGACATATTCAAAATTCTGTTTTTGATCAAGACCAATCAGAATTTTTTAAGCAGTAACTGTAATTATGAGGCATTTAGCCTGGCTAGAAAAACCAGCATAGATCAGCATAGCTTGTTGTCGGAAGAAAACCTCATATCTCCAAAATGGTAACTTTTCAGGAGAAGGAAAAAACCTACTTTACTGTTAATGTAAGTCAATGGAACCAGACATTTTTTCAAGTCATTTTAGATCATTCCTTTTGGTCCATTCATCATTAAATTTACACACAATGTAAAGAGTAACAGGCATTTTCAAATCATGTCAAAAACTGAAAAACCATAAAAATGGAGATACAAGGTTTTCTTCTGACAGCAGCGATGTGTTTGGATGCTGGTATGCCGGTTAACAAGCTTGACCAGCATAAACCAGTCTAAACCGGTTTCTATTCAGCAGGCTTGCTGAGCATTTTGACCTTCAAATTGGACAAATCTTTCCAAGACAATCACCATCGCATATGGACTGGAAGCTTCTACACTGATTGTTCAAAGCATAAAAGTAACCAATCACAGCAGATAACATTACAGAAAGGCAATCACTACAGTAACGGTGATCCAGCTCTGAATGTGGCTCATAAATCTGAACCCATAACCACCATAATTACAGAGAAAAATTGCAAGCAAGATAATTGCTGCTTAAGGTGAGTTTAGATATATACTTTTGCCTATAAGTTGTGTATTTTATGTATCTCAGTTCTATGTTTTTATTTTATATATCTCATTTTTTTAATGGTTATGGTTAAATTACTAGCTGACAGCTACGGGAGTGAAATTCAAGATTTGGCCCACCCACACATTTGTTGTGCCCACCTAATAAGGCAGCCTATGAGCGGCTACTTGTCACAAGCATACTAAAATCTTCTAAAGGAAGAACAATCATAGTAGTAGTTGTGCATTTGTGAGTGAGAAACAGTGTTGTTCTTGTTTTTATTGTCGTCTTTAACTCTTAGAAGTCGAGAATTAGCCACTGATTTATGTTACATAATAATTTACATGTAATTACATAAATAATTCCATAGTTATATTTATATGTTCTATATTCTGTATCAACAGATTTGAGTCTATGCTTCTCAGAAATGGTAAAAATGGTGAAAAAATGACAAAAATGTAAAAGATGTTTTTTGTGCAAAGCAAATACTGTATGCAGAACAATAACTCTATTTCAACTCTTTATAAAACTCAACTATTTATAAAAATATCTCAGAATCTGCACTTATAGCAGAATTTCTCTGTTTTGAGCTGTGAAATATTCAAACTGAATTACATCATGCTCTTGATTTTGCTGGTGATAAGTGAGACTTCTTAGCTTGGCTTTACACTGTAAAACTGCTATGCAACTTCACTTGCATGAATTGTACATGCAGCTAAAATGCACTTCAGTTGCATAATGTAAAGCGTCCTGCAACTCTTCTGGAATTCTTTCGCAACAAGCGTCTCAACTTTTGCAGAATAAATTTCATTAACGCACCACGTGACCATATCAAACATCATTTCAAATGATTGGCTTCACCAGATCAATAGACAAGAAAATAAAACATTTGACATTTGACTTTCTGCAAAGTTGGTAGTTTTTCATTTTGTCATTTACTTGAGCCTTGAGGCCTTGAAGTGTTAGTACAGATCTGTGATCCAATAACTGTGATGTTTAGAAGGATTAGAAGCATCTCAACAGCCAAAAAACAAACCAAAAATGGAAATACATTTTCATATGTACTGCAAAAAGTTGGCAGTTTCCAACTGAGCATTGATTTTGGCATCACAGATACTGCAATCCTTTACGATGTCATAGCAAAACTCCTAAAAGTGGATTGCAATTACTCAACGTACCCGCACTCTGAAACAATCCAATCAACTTTTAACCAGGAAAAATGCAAAGACACTGAAACGTCCAGCCCAACAGCGGAATGAGTGATGGCTCTTTTATGAGCGTAAAGTGCAGAGGGATGGGAATGGAATAGCGATGAGGCCACCAACCTTGGTGAGATATCACAGCCCTGCTGCATGAAGGCCCCCAGAGAGAACCACAGGCTGTTAAAAATCCCAAAGTCATTAGGCGGGTCAGGAGGAGTCTGGGGGTCTTTGGCTTCATCCGTCTCGTCCAGATGCCACTCGTAGGGGCTGAAGCGGCTCACGAGGAACAGCACCACGCTGACACCAATGTAGGCGAACACGATGCACATCCAGATCTCGTAAGCCAGGGGGTCCAGGAAGGAGAACACGCCCGGCTTGGACTTCTGAGGTTTCTTGATCATAATGGAGATGCCCAAGCTCATGAAGGGCTTAGAAAAGTCTATCACTTCCTCTCGGACCAGCGTGATAGTCAATGGTGCGACAGCTATATCTGCCCTCTAGGAAAAGGGACATACAACAACACTGGTTAGCGTCCTGGTTTTCAGGCTGGTGGATGGCAACACACATGCATAATATCAATAAAAGCCTACTTAATGAGGAGTGAATGGAAATCGGTGACTTTGTTCACGCTTGAAATTAATCCCTTCTTGGTGTTTGATCACCTTTTTCATTTTGAATGAGTTCATCAGAAAAATTGGCCTCGGAGTGTTAGCTTGAATGCTAAAAACGGGGTCACGGAGTATTTCCACAGGCTCTGGTATGTGGGTTGAGCAAAACCAAAGCAGGGAAGAGATTCAGATTCAAAATAAGTGATTTGCCTTTGCCCTGGGGTGCATTTGCCTAACACTGGAAAACCTATTATAAGTGTACAGTACAGCAGTGATGCAGCCTTCTCAAAAAAAGGGAAAGAAAGAGAAAAAAGAGGACATCCACTGCCTCGGAGCATGTGGAAAAGACGTGCAAAGCATAAAAGCGGTTTTGACTGCGGAGCGCATAAATGGCAGCTGAGCCTTCACAAACCATTCAGCGGCTTCAGCCAAGCTCCTTATGCTGACCTCCGCTGCCCAAAAGAGGCAGAGGAGAATTCGGACTGAATTTTTAAAGGATAAGTAATGGAAGCAGTGACGTCACGCTAGCTGGCAACAATAGCTGTCTACATTAACACTCTCCACCTACAAATACATTCTTTCATGGCATCTTTTGGGAGACTGAGCTTTATAGAACATTGGCTCATCTCCAGTTCCACCCAATGAGAAACTGTGCTTTTTGTCCGAATATCTAAATTGAAGCTTCGGCTTTATTTTGGTCACAGAAAGTTCGGGAAGACTTCATTTGATATCTATCTACATAAGGAGTTCATACCACATGCATTAGCATTGAATATCATATTTAGTAAGCAATATTTGAGTAGTTATTAACAAAGCCAGTAACCGCAAGATGACTTGAGATGTTGTATGAAGTAAATGTTGACATTAAGCTGAAATGACAGACATTTATTCCATTTGTAAGACTGTTTTGAAGCATAATTCCCAAATAGTCAAACTTCTAAGACAGAGGCTTAGTTAAGAACACACTTTATTAATTCTACGTACCTCTACTTAAATAAAAGAACAAAAGCACAAGCAGGGATGCGGGAAGGTGATGTAAATTAGGGCTTCTGAAATTTTCAGCATAATATATCTCTGACCACTGTCGGCCCGCTGATGACAAAGCTGGTGGTCCACTGGTGTTTTGCTCAGCGTTTTCCAGGCGGCCCATTGGTGGTTAAGCAGAATAATAGGGAAATTCCACTTATCATCGGTCATTTTTCCATTTACAGCCCAGTTTACTTATTTTTCCTTCCTTCCTTTCTTTAAGTATACTTTGTAAATTAATTTAGCAGATCATTTTAATCCAGCACAGCGTCAGCAATAACATTTTCTATAAAATCATTTTATATCAGGCTTAGTCATTATTTTTCTCTCTCAGTTGTTTATAAAGTTTATTTTCCAAAATAAAAGTCTCTGTGCATTTAAAATCTGTTTGAGGAGATTGAAAACTAGTTAGAGCTTGTTTGCAGGACAGTAATTTGGGTGGTCAGAGGATGGACCAGCTGTGGCAAACAGTCAGTAGGGTGCCGACCTTATTAAACTAGCGGGCTGATATATGCTTGCTGTCTGGGATGTGACGAACACGGTGACTGTGTTTTTTCCATTTTTAAAACTTGAATTGTTTACAGAGACAAGATACAGCTGTACACCTATGACCGACACAGTAGCCATGGCTGATACTTACCCTGCCGTCTCTGCTCTACTAAGGTTTTTAAAACAGTATTAGACTGTGTCAGGGAACAAAACTAGCCTATAACTCCTATAACAGTGCAGATTTTGAACATAGAAATAAAACAAAATAAAAGCATAAATTACATCCTAAAAAAAGCACACAGAGTTCTTTGCTACGCTCAAAATGTTTTAAAGTTTGTTCTATTTTTGCTATTCTTTTCAGCAGTTGCAGTTAAATAATCTTGAAATCTGGTGGTGCTGCAGCCCCCTCAGCACCCCTGCTTCCTGCATCCCTGAGCACAAGTTTTATTAAGAACACCTGCAAACATGAACAACTAAAGCCTGCTTTACACTGTCAGACTATACGTTTCCTGCATATCACACTCCATGTCAGACACCGATCAGGCATAACATTATGACTCCAGCAGCACTGCTGTGTCTGATCCACTCAGACCAGCACAACACACACTAACACACCACCACCACGTCAGTGTTACTGCAGTGCTGAGAATGACCCACCACCCAAATAGTACCTGCTCTGTGAGGGTCCATGGGGGTCCTGACCACTGAAGAACAGGGTAAAAGGGGGCTAACAAAGTATGCAGAGAAACAGATGGACTACAGTCTGTAACTGTAGAACTACAAAGTGCACCTATATAGTAAGTGGAGCTGATAAAATGGACAATGAGTGTAGAAACAAGGAGGTGGTCATAATGTTGTGCCTGATCAGTGTAGATTATACAGTAAAGATTTTTTGGTGATAGATTTATGATGCAGGGAAATGTTGACATTCTGCATGCCAAAAAAAAAATCTCGGTTTATTAGTGGCGATGCTTCGTCTGATAAAAAAAGCACGTACTAAATGGCTGAGAATGGGAGGCTGGAGCTGCTCTCAGCTGGGAAAAGGGCTACATGGAATGCTTATTCTGTAAGTGAACTGAAGGTCAGCAGGTTCATTGTTCTGTCCACTATATGGTAGCTAGCTCTGCTATTTCACTGCTGGTCACTCTATATGTGAAATGAGGGCTGAGCCATACTAATGACATGAGCTAAAGTTCTTAAACTTGTGATGATAAAACTTTTACCTTCATTTATCATCACACACACACAAAGGTCATTCCGAGATTTTTAACCCAATTTTACGACCAATTTTTGCTTTATTTTGTTGATTAGCACACAGTGTAAACCAGGCTTAACTCTGTCATAACACATCTTACGTCATCCTGTGAATACTGTTATAAATACTGAAGTATTGCTTTTGAAGATATTCACTGCTTATGTGTGGGTCATAAAGTCTCTCAGTGTGTCCCAATTCAGGGGCTGGATCTTTCGAAGGACACGGTCCACAAAGGTACGTCCTTCGAAGGCTGCTTAGACCCGCGAAGGCTGAACCGAAATGCAATACTGCAGACCATCTCGGCCGCATACGAAGGAGCCTTCGAAATGGGACAGCCTAGTCGCGCCCCTGTGACGCAATTGGCCTTCAAATGCAGCCTCCGAAGGATGCAGCCCCTGATTTGGGACACACGGTCTGTGTAGGGCACCTTCAAATGAAGTGTTACTGAAAAATCTCTGGCTGAGCATTGCTGTCTAGCTAAACTGACATCGTAGACTGCATCACTAGCTACTGTAGCTTGCAATGCATAATTGGTTTGTTATTTATTTATCATTTTTATTTTGGCTGATCTGTTGTAGTTTTATTGAGCCAGGTAAGTGCATTCATGCTCTTCTTAAATGCTGCTACAAGCAGAATTATGCATGACTCATTGTGCTAAATAGCCAGTCGCCTCTTCCAGGGTTGCTGTAGCACTTTATTTGATTCATGTCATTTAAATTGGCAACTGATTTATTTTTTAATAATTTATAATGTTGGTTTGGTCCATTAAAAAATTGTTGTGTCTGTATTGCAACTTGGACTAAAACAGAGGTTACCAGCCTTGCTCCTGGAGATCTACCTTCCTGCAGACTCTAATCAACCCTGCCTGATACATCTAATGATTGCCTACAGAAGTCTTTGATTGGCTGAAGGAGATGTGGACATAAAATGTCCTGGAATGTAGATCTCCAGGAGGAGGGTTGGTGACCACTGGGCTAAGAGACAGTACTGGAAATGTGCTAGTTCATGTCGTGTACATTAAGCCCACATAGTGTAAAGTTTGAGCTAATAAAAATTGTCCATCAGACAATTCGACTGTAAAAAAGTCAGAATCAGAAGTGAAACACTTCATAAAAACATGGTTGGTTCATTCCTAGAATGGCTAAAGTGATGCTAATGGAATTTCCCCGTTTTTTTTTTAAATGCTTGCCATATTTACTGATTACGATTCACAAACAACCCAGCAAATTCAGCCGAGCTCCTTACGCTGACCTCTGCTGCCGAAGCCGAGGAGACGAATCTTTTTTGCCCTAACCCTTCCCTCCTCATGCGTCACAAACTGCCGCTGTGGGAGCCGGGGACCTTGGGGTGTGACAGCCGGAAACCGTAGCAGTTCCCGCTCTGTCTCTCTGGGGCATTCGGACGTAAGGTCAGCGAGAGATTCCAGATTTCCAGGAAGCGATTAGTTATGCAATGAAGGCAGGATAAGGTCGGGGAAACTTTGCAGGTGAACGGTGGTTCTAAAAAACCCCCCGCAAATATTAATTTCCTTTTATCTTGTAGTCAGTAGTGAGTGGGACTCTGGTGTACTGTCTCAATAAATCATGGAATAATTTGCATATAAATAGCTAATTAAGCGTCTACCAGAAGTGATTTATCAGCAAGGCAGAAACATGCTTCGGATCTCTTCCCCCAGCACTATGGATAAATAATTGCATGTGATCATCTTTTCTGACTCCATGGTTGAAATATGCACTGTGCACATATGTGCAGTGGCAAACAGTGGTGATGTAAAGTACTGCATCCTCTAAGAGGAGAAGGAATCAGACCACATTGCTGTGCAGATAGAGCCGCTCAGCAGCGCTCCATCAAACCACGGTCAGAAGACGAAGGGCTGTTTTCCATCTGCATTATTTCTTTTTTATCTGCGAGACGTTCTCGGTTTACCCCGAGCTCGCAGCGCACTACCAAAGCAAATGCTTAAGGGTGGTACTGTGGTTTTTTTTAACACCCAGGCTTCTCTGTAAAACTGAAAGAAGAAAGGAATCGACTGCCGCTGTTTAGACAACGTTACTGGCAGGAGTGTTTAAGTGACTCATCAAATAGCAGCTTCTGTTCCAAAGTATCGATCTGTGGGGGACGTCATTGTGCTTCATTGTGACTATTGAAATAAAAATGAAAATGAAGAACACATGAACCTGAGAAAATAGGCATATATTTTTCTCGGCTGCCAAAGCAAAAAGAAAAAAAACTGAGATACTCTCACAGCCACATATCATTATGTCATGTAATAACCACTTCATCCTAATGCAGTTCTCAGCGTGCCAATCAATACTGAGGACAAATAAGCCATAAAAGCAAGCATGTGAGGGTAACCTTTGAAAGGCAGGAAGAATCAAATGAATAACGCTGGTCAAAAGGTCATGCCACGTAGGCAACCATTACTCCTGAGTGTCCAGACCGAAATAGCACCACAGGTATTCTACACAGTGGCTTAATGGGAATATTTTTCTTCTTCTTCCTGCCCAGAGTTTTTTCTTTCTTTCTCATTTTGAGAATAATTCTGAGCGTTAGCACATCAAAACCAGGCAATCTCTCTGGCTGATGGTTAGGAAATTGAACAGATGAGGTAACCCAACCCTCATGCATTTTGTATACGGCCTCTCTGCGCTGGATGTCAGTCCGTGGGATTGGGAATGATTTGCCTTGGGTTTGCCTGCATTTAGAGCGCAGGAGCACTCTGACAAATGTAAAGGTGAATGCTTGGCCTGGTACAGTGTGGAAAAGTGGCTTTGTGATGTAGCAGCGCTGAGATGAATCGATGAGCAGCGCGCTGGGAAGTAGCTGGCCTTAGCTCAAAGGGACAGTCTGAGCAAACAGTGTGTGGAAGTAGTGACGTCATGCTAACTGGCATCATTAGTTTTCTCTAAACGACACTCCCGTGCCCCGCCCACAAATGTGCTCTTTCAGCGCAATGTTGTGTCCTGCACAAAAGGTTGGTGAGCCTAATGAGAAACTACAGCACACAGTTCAGTTTTATGTCAAAATACCTAAATTAGAAGGCATTATTATTTCATTTTAGAGATTGAGAACACACTGTTCAAAAAGGGCCACCTGAAAGTTTTTACTTTATTGAATTTCACATAGTCAACAGAACTCAAGACAGATAGATTGCAGCTTTGTTAACTTCATATCAGAAGCTGAGTCAAAAACTTTAAGGCAGGTAGGCAGTTGTTTTTTATTATGTAATTGAGGTTTTTAGAGTTAAACATATAAGTGTCATTCTACAGAAACATCCACTTTTCTATGTATCCATAGGAGTCACTGGTGTTACTGATCGTCACTGGTGTTACACATAATAAAGGAACACCAGAGACATTTTTAATTAAACACACATTTTACCAAATGGCTGCTACAGAGCATCAAACCACATGTTGTCAGTCATGGAATATCCACTAAAATATGGAATTTAATCCATTTGTATTCTATTTTTTCACAGTTACCTCAGAATAAAGTCGGTCACACCAGTGACTTCAGCTAAAAGCTTCATATGAAATCATGAACTAAATGAGAAAATCTCTGATAACTGAAAGACACAGTGGACTCACCATGCGCTTTTCTTCATAGATCCTCAGAAAACAGGTAAAAGGAAGTCGAGTGATGTCATCAGTGTGACTTTTATTTCAAAATAAGAGATTTTTTGTTATGCAGTAACACCAGTGACACGACTCCAGCTCTCATTATATATTTTATAACATTTATTTGGCATTTGTTTTCTTTATGTCATTAAAATCATACATTTCATAGTCGTGTATAGATTATTGCAGTTAAAATTGCAGAAAATGTTTTACCTCAAAATATGGCCTCAGCCTTCACACATGACTGTGAGGACGAGCTCTTCTGTGGGTCTTCTATAATTCTATATGATTGATTTAAAAACCAATATTGCTAAATTGATGCTCAAAAACGTGTAATTGTTAAAATAACATTTTATTTTAAAATATAAATAAATTGTAACACTAACATGTTTTTCAAGTGTAATATATCTCTAAACGCTAGGGACACAAAAATGGACGTTTCCATAGAATGACTCATTACACACCGTACAAAGATAAATAAATAAATTATTGTGATCATTTGTTTTTTGTGAATTTACATTCTATTTCTGTAAATTAACAGCAGCAGTGTGTTATACAGTATATGTCTGCTTTATTTACATGTATTTAACTTTTTTTTAATGGGTATTGAGCATTAAATTTACAGGACTTTGACAGACTTTTTACAGTGCAGGAAGGTCACTGGCTCAAGCACTGCCAGCAAGCTAATGTTGCAGCCAGCACCACTCCCTACTGCGGGAGGGTTGAAGTTATTCTAAGGTATATGCCAACAGCATTTTCTTGTCATACTGGCCTCCCTTGTGCTCTCTGGATAAAGTCAAGCTAGCAATTTATCCCACGAAGGTAACATTTCACATAAACATAAATAAAATTAAAAATGAATGATGCCTTAATTGAGGTATTTTGACAATAACCTTGTGAGAAGCAATTTGTCATTAGACTGAATGAGATACATCCAGCCTTGCTACAGTTACTATAAGTGGGTGGAACATGTATAGGTCTGCTGTTGTTTCGACTGACTCGCTGTTGTGGCATCATAAAGGACTTTGATTATGTATCTATAAGAACAAAACCATTAAGTTCACTTTCTAAGATCTTATCACCATCAACTTCTCATCTGAAGGATCAAGGAAGAAGAGCAGATTAGTATAAAGCTGTAAAGCTGTGAGAAAGCGATGGTACTCACCCCATACACTAGTTCACCCACCATCCCGTTCCAAGTCTTGGTCTCAGGGTCGCGGGCGCCGTATTTGCCGTCCATGACTATGGACAGCCTGTATTTAATCCCAACGTGTTTGGCTATCTCGGAAGCTAAATCGACACAGTAGCCTTCATACTTGTCATTGCCTTCCAGATGCATATGGTTTTTCTTGTACATCACATACGGTGCTTCCTGTTAATCAAACACACGCTGGTTTATTGTCACCCATGCACAGCAGTCACCAGAGCCGACCGACAGCTGACCAGTCAAGAGCATGCAAGGGCCGTGCTGGGTAGATCACACACACACACACACACTCCTGTTCACTCTTTCTCACACATACACTCCTGATCAGTTTCTCTCTTCGTGTGTATTACTCTATATGTGTCTCTCTAACACGTACACACAGACAACATGGACACATACACAGGACGGTGGAGACAGAAGAAGCAGGTATGGGGTCATGTAGCTAAGACCAATGAGTGGTCACAGCCGGACCCTTTGGCTAATGCACCCAGCCCCTACTAAGACTATGATGGTGAGCAGGTAGAAGACAATTGGTGTCTCTCTCTCTCTCACTGTCTCTCTCTCTCTCTCTCTCTCTCTCTGGTTCTGTCTCATAACTGCACAATAACACAATCACATGTACACTACCATTCAAATATTCGCCATATATAAAACGTAATACGCCATTTGTAATTACGCAGTAATTACATGTGTACTGTATGTTCACTCTTCTCTGCTTGTCGAACTATCCTACTTGTTTAAAACAAGTGAAAAGGTATGACTGTCTACCTGAGTGATTTCGCTTTGTATAAGACAGCGTTTTTAGCCCATAGCATGAAAAACCTGGGCAAAATATAGGCCTGATCTCAAATGGCTTCCTATTCCCTACGTAGTGTGCACTATGTAGGTCATTACAACAGCCTCTACACAAAAACAGTGGATTAAAAGTGTAAATAAAAGTCATTTATATTCAGTCACAGCTGCACAACATTGTTTAAGGGAACATTTAAGGGAAAACAAGTATTTTGCCTTTCAAATTACTTTAGAGCAATAATTATCTGTGTCCATTAAATTTTGTTGAAATTTCATCATCACTTTTGAAATAGTTTAATGTGAATTATAATGTTATTATACTATGGAATTTGATTGTAACTTGTATATTGTCGCTGTCCAAAGAAAAACTTCAAATAGTATCTCCAAATTAAGGAACTTTACAGGAGAAAGTAAAAATGTTTCAATGTAAATTAATGTGAAGAGGTTTCATTCCAAGTCGTTTTGGGGCATTTCTATTGGTCCTTTCACCACACAACATACAGGACAACTGTTGTGCTCAAATAATGTTGAAAAAAAAAAGTTATTTTTGGACAGCAACAATATATCCCTGCTGCTGGAACAAAACCACATCTCCAAAATGGTAACTTTACAGGAGAAGGAAAAAACATAATTCACTTTTAATGTAAGTCAATGGAACCAGACTTTTTCCCAACTAATTTTGGGCTGTTTCTTTTGGTCCATTCATTATAAAATTTACAAACAAAGTAAAGAGCAACAGGAATTTCCAAATTATGCAAAAAACTGAAAAACAATAAAATTGGAGATACGAGGTTTCTGCAGTGATATATATAGAGTATTCTTGGTCATTTTAGAATCACACAGTTCCATTCATCACTGAGGACATTGTCTTCCCTGGCATATTAGAACCATTTTACACAATATCTGCAACTACATTGATTTTATATCATTATTGATATCGTCGCTGTCCAAAGAAGAACTGGTATCTCCAAAATAGTAACTTTACAGGAGACGGCAAAAACGTTCTTTACTTTCAATGTAAGTTAATGGAAAGATATTTTATTCCAAGTCATTTTCGAGCATTTCTATTGGTCCAATCATCATGAAATTTTCACACAATGTAAAGGACATCGGCTGAGCTCAAACGAAGCAGAAAAGTAAAAATCTCAATAAATGGAGATACATGTTTTTCATTGGACAGCGACGATATATTACTGAAACCTTCCAAACTTTTGACTGGTAGTATACACTCATACACTCATACACGCTCTCTGTTGGTCTTGTTTGGACCGTGTTTGTGGGGGCTGAGTAGCATCAGTCGTGTCTTATTTGAGGGTGAGCAATGGGGTGGGTGAGCAGGGTCATGAGAGGGGAAAGGGGCATCCGATTCATAAAGTAAATGGCAGTGACTGGAGACGGATCAGTCCATTGTTTGAACAGAGTCAGGCACGTTGCACCGTTGCGTGGGAAAGGCCATGTCATTCCAACAGAAGGAAGAACATAAAGAAGAAGAACACAAAGCAGAACATACTGGCAAATAAAACAAAAAACAAACAAACAAACAAATAAAAAAATAAATACATAAAGCCGTTTTTAGAATCCAAAAACTCAAATATCTAGCCAACATACAGAACTATACCAAGAAAACTGAGCAAGCATTTCTTTTTTTTCCTTTTCTCTCTCCATTGCAAACACTGCAGCAGCAGCAGCTCGTCTTTCTCTTTTTTTTAGCACATCATCATTACCAAACAATAGGGCTCCTCACACAGAGAGAGCGTCCCTATTAGAGTCAGAGACAATTAGGTTGCCAGTGGGTTAGCAGCGGTTTGTTTGCTTTGTGCTGAATGTGTCCTCTCACCTCGTCTATTCTGAGATGGCTTCTGTCTCGGCCGAGCCTGTACACGTCTGCTGATGGGCAAACTGCTTTGGAGCTGTTTATTGTTTACCAGAAGTGGAAAGTAACGAATTACAGCTACTCCTATTACAGTAGTTGAGTAACTGTTTTCACTGTGGCAGTATAATTATAGTTACTGTATTAGTGTTTATTCTTAATATAGTATTCAACTTCACTGTTTTCAGTTTACTAACCATTACAGACTGATCTTCACAACTCAGCCTCCAATCTGAGGAAGCAGTTAACTAGTCTAACTAGTCTGGGCTAAATAGCTACTGTGCTCTTTTACTTTATTAACTTTTATTTGTTTGATACTTTTACATTTGTTCTTTTTTAATACTCCAAAACAGCAAGTTTGTGAAAAGCTAGTTAGGTGATACCAAATGTGATGAATTCACAGAAACCATATTCAAATAACGTAAAATGTTTTGATCAAATAAATATATGCAAGTGGAAGGAAAAAAAAATTTAGCTTAAAGTAATTATAAAAGTGATTATAAGTTTTGTAATAAACAACCTATTTATTCTTACTTGAGTATTCCTCTCTATGAATATTTATACTAATAACCATTTAGAATATCACCTTCAGCAACCGCATTAGATATCTAAGCAACCAGCTAGCAATACCCTAGCCACAACCTGGGATATAATAGTAACCACTCAGCAACACCCTAGCAACCACCTGGGATACCATAGGAAGTACATAGCAACCATGTGCAATATTTTAACTACCACTTTACAACACCTTTGCAACCACATTGAACGCAATTGTAACCACCTAGCAGCTACCTGGGATACCATAGAAAATAGGTATTAAACACCTCGGATACCATAACAATGACCAAGCAACAACCTAGCAACCACCTGGAACACCATAGCAACCACACTGCAACACTCTACCAACTGCATGGAACACCATAGCAACCACACTGCAACACTCTACCAACTGCATGGAACACCATAGCAATCACTCAGCAACACCCTAGCAACCGCATGGAACACCATAGCAATCACTCAGCAACACCTTAGCAACCACCTGAGATACCATAGGAAGTACATAGCAACCATGTGCAATATTTTAACCACCACTTTGCAACACCTTAGCAACCACATAGAATGCAATAGTAACCACCTAGCAACTACCTGGGATACCATAGAAAATAGGTAGTAAACACCTCGGATACCATAACAACCAACAACCTAGCAACCACCTGGAACACCATAGCAACCACACTGCAACACCCTAGCAACCACATAAAAAATCATAGCAACAACCTGGGACACCATAGCAACCAATTAGAAACACCTTAGCAACGACCTAATATACTACAGAAACTGGCAGTAACCTAGCAACCACCTGGTAACAGCTTAAGCTGTGCACTCACTGCATTTTTCATTTTTCCAGAAAATGCACTTTTCTAATCTACTGTTATCATGGGATCTTCATCAGTAGTTGATTTTGAGATCATTTGGGATCTAAACATCGAGCTGGACCTTCTTTTTGAGCCCGTGGGTGTGAGGTTAATTGCATAAAGACAGACTATTTCTATCTTAAATCCAACACAGTGCAGTTGTAGGTAGGAAATTTCAGTACTCTTTCCACCCCTGCTGTTTACAAGCTAAATTAGAATTTGAGAGAAAATAAAAGTTACAGCTGTTGTCCTAAATAGCGGGTCATTAAAAGGCACTTTGATTTTTTTAGCACTCAAACAGTCAGAGAGTCATTAAAGCAGACGGTGGAGTGATTCTTCAGCGCAGAGCAACCTCCAGGTCAGTATAAAACAGGATCCGAGCCAGGGTAAGTGGGGCTAGTCCCACGCTCATCCCTCAGATCCTGTTTCGCCTGAGAGAAACCACTGAACCCCTCTCAGCGCTGCCGTTTTCACTGGTTGGTCTATCCCGTGTGTCATTGACCATTTACTTGATGAGTGGAGACAGGTCTTTACTTACGTATGCATTGTATGTCTACTTTGATGATGGCAACGAAAAAAAAACTCATTACCATTGTACCATTATGCCGTTATTGTGATGTCACTGCTACGACAGGCCACTGGAGTATGGAAAATCAAAATGCTTTGTCATCCACACGGATACAGTTGAAACACTCGTTTTTTGTTTTTTTTTTGTCCTTTTTATCTTTTTTTTTCCAACCCCGCCTCGACTGTTTCAACGTGTAGTGAGTGGATGGAAAGCAACGCAAAAAGAAATGTACTTCTAACCGCCCAGGACAGAAGGGAGTCTACACCATGACCCTGAGTGGCAGAATACGTGACACATTTAAAACGTCATGGAACGTGTACCATAATAGTAGTGACCACAATTGTTCGGTTTTCCACTGAGGTCGAATCGTTGTTGTACGGCTGATCCATTATATTTACAAAGCGCTCAAACTCGTTCCAGTACCCGATCTGCAAAAGGGAAAACATTTAGGTTATTATTCAAACATCAGCCATTCTGAACCATATTAATGCTCTCCCCGGTGCCCCCTCCCCTTCTTTTATAGCCCCCTTTCAAATGATTAATTCATGATATCAGTACAGACACGTTAAGGAGACTGTCAGGGATGTATAAAGCTATGAAGGCAAACTCTCATAAGACTCTGTTCATTAAAATGGCATTAGGTGCCTGAGCTTCTATTGCTTCCTGCTAAATGGAAGTGGGAGCCACGTCTGCCTGATGATTTTTTTAAGCAGTGGGGAGACGCTTACAGTGGCTTTCTGTGCCATACAAGCCCTGAACAGCTCTCAAATCTGTGCTTACAATGTTCAGCCTAGTAGACAGACAAGGAGAACAATAAACTGTCAGGAGTGCAGCGCTTAAATGTCACGCGGTGGCACGCAATGCTACTCCTGTTTAACTAAAGCTCAGCTGATGAACTAGCGCGAATACAGAACTGGTTCCTCTCCGTTTTTCAATTTCAACTCCATTTTCTACTCGAGAACCCAAAGCAGTTACAGCTGTTGTCCTAAATTAAATGGCACTTTGATTTTTTAGCCATCAAACAGTCAGAGAGCCATTCATGCTAGAGAAACCAGCCTAGACCAGCGTGCCAGCATGCCTGGTCACCAGAAAAACCAGAAGATGTTGTGTTTTGCATGCTGATATTCTGGTCAACCAGCATGACTATGCGGGGTGACCAGCCAAACCAGCACAAAACCAGCATAAATCAGCATAGACTTGCTTAGACCTGCATGGAATGCATGCTGGTCTGTGCTGTTTTTTCAGCAGGGTGGTTAGAATGGCCATAGCAGTGGAGAGCAGACCTTCATGTGAGCAGCAAACAGGTATGTAGACATGTTCAAAACCGCACCCTATTCACTATATGGTGAAGTATTTTAGCATTTCGTCTGGAAATTATTACGTCTGAAAACGCAGGCTGAATTTTACTGGCTCTACTAGACACACACACTCGTTATTGGGTTAACACTCGTTATTACATACACAGGTTATTGGGTCCAGAGTGCTGGATGGTGGGTAGTTTAGCTGCTGGATTAATATGCTTTGTTGGGTTACTTTCACCACCCTGGGTAGTTTTAGCCGCTGTGTAAGTGGCTGAATCATAGTAACAACCCAGCCCAATAAATGGAGTTTCATCAGGCAAGAGCTGGGCTGACAGAAATCTGTAAGAAAAATGCTGTATAAAATACATTACTGCGTACTCTCGAGTGAAATAATAATAATAAATAATCATTTCTAAGTAAGGGGGTCGGAGACACATTGGCTTCTTTTTATCTATAAAGCTCTTACTGGCCATCGTACATCACAGAAACGCTCAGTGTAAATAATGCAGTTTATCAGACTCGTTCCAGTGATTGGATCAGCCTTCAGGTGCCGAGAGCTTTTACAGAGCTGGGAAAATCTGCTTTTAGCTGCAGCACCAGTGAGCTGGAATTCACTACAGGAAACTTCTTTTTTTATTATTATTATTACAGGAAACTTCACTCTCTGGTGTCACATGAACATTTTAAACTTTTAGTCTCCATCCAGCTCCACACAGCCTGACACTGCTTCATTTGATTTTACTTAACTTTTAACATGACTTTGGGTATGTTTTGACTTTGTCTTAGCTATTGTTTTTACTTTTTACTTTTATTTTTTTACTTTTGTACTTTTACCTCTTTACTTTTCATCATTCTTTTTATTTCTTTTTTTACTAGTCTTTTTATTTCTTTTATTATTGTCAATTTACTGTCTTCTACATCTACATCTATTTCTTTAATTTCATTAATCTATGTTTTTATTTATTTTATCCTTATCTGCTTTGTTACTTGTTTAGTTGTTATATTGTAATTTTAGTCATTTATTGATTTAACAGTTTATTGGTACCTTCTTATCATTAAATTTTACTTTTATGATTTTTATTACTTAATTATAGTATCTGATTTATTATTTTTTTACTGTACACCTCCTCAGTCCTTGATTCCTGTATTACTCAGCTACATTGTAATTGAGGGTCTCCCGCAAAGTATTCTGAGTTTAAATAAAGGTTGATTGATTGATTGATTGAAGTAATAATAACTATATTTTTCTGGTTTTTGTGTGCCATTTATGACAGAATATCTGATTAGCATTAGCTTACTATCTTGGACATGTTTGTTTCCATCGTCTTCCTACAGAATTAAGATAATTTAGCTAACTTAGACATGTTTCTTTCCACTAACTGCAGCATTAGCTCACTAGCTAACAGACATATTTCTTTCCATTGTTTTAATCAGGATTAGTGTTAGCTGGCTAACTTGGTTGTCCTCTGTCTCACTGCACCATTAGCATTAGCTTGCTAGCTTAGATATGTTTGTTTCCTCTTTCTCACTTAATACTGGTAGCTTATAACATGAAATGTGTCTGAATTTATTGCTAAATGTATAGAAAACATTTCAGTAAATATTAACCTTAGCTGATAAATGAATTACATAGCTACATAGCTAATGTATCAGCTATTGGAAACAACTTCACTTTAATGCTTACCCAGTAATCTGCTACTTTTCACACTTAATGTACAGCATGCAAGGCCCATTTTTAAGAACATGTGGGAACCTGTTATTGTCAAGTATTTTTATTTTTAATGGACAGCGAATTTACTGATTTTCATTTATATGTTAAAGCAACCAAAGCTGGAGTTCAGCATTAACCCAACCCTTGCTGGGTTGGTCAATATTGCCAAACTGACCCAACTTGGGTTATTTTTAGTAGTGCATTATTACCTACATCACAAACTATACTGGTTATATGTCTAATCGGAAGCCATAGAAAATCAGCCATACTGCACTGTTAGAAATAAAGGTTCTGTTCAGGTACATTTTCCGTTCATCAAGGTACAAACAATGAAAATGTACCACCAAAGGTACTACAGTGGTTTTAAGGTCTGATTGTGAACCTTAAATAAGTTTTTCCAGGTGAAAATTTCGTATTTGTACCTTTTCATAACCGAATGTTTTAAACAGAACAGTAAAATAAAAGCCTGGAGACGAGACGGGGTGTGTGGAGTCAGTACAGCTTAGAACATATCATTTCAGTGGATTATGGTTCAGTTATGTTCCCTGTCTAAAGGGACTGAGATGGAGCCTTGAGGGTTCCACCCCAGTGACAAGAGGGGAACTGACCCAGTGACAGTTTAGTACCTTGTTTTCTGAGAGTGTGGGGAACATCCACTGCACTGAAATCCCACAATGCAAGATATACAGTCACAAAGTCCAGACTTGTAGTTTGTGTAACATATTAAAAATGTTTGTATGATATTAAAATTGAGTTTGAATGAAAAAAAAAAACAAGATATAATAAAATGTGGCTTAAAATGCTGATCAGACCTTCTGAGAACTGTTTGGATATGGTCCTAATACTCTAAAGAGTGCATGTGATTGACCTGCTATGCCCCTGAAGTAGAACTAACCATAACAGAGTGAGCGGAGAGAAATGATTAAAACGGGCTCTACACATGCAGGCCGTGTTTCAGACGATCCTCTCTCTGTCTGTGACTCACTGACATCATTATCCAGCATTTACACTACGATGTCTTAAAGATGGTAATGTTCTCTATGGAGTATCTTGCTAGCTTAGTTTATTAAAGCTGTGGGCAGAATACATCAGCCATGCGATTGTTGAGGATACTGCGTATGTATGCTTGACCCAAGGCTTAGACTGATCAGTTTATATCAAAAGAAGAGAATTTTGGCAAAATACATCAGCCATTTAGTGAGAATTGGAAAGTTACACCGATCAGGCATAACATCATGACCATCTCCTTGTTTCTACGCTCATTGTCCATTTTATCAGCTCCACTTACTATATAGGTGCACTTTGTAGTTCTACAGTTACAGACTGTAGTCCATCTGTTTCTCTGATACTTTGTTAGCCCCCTTTTACCCTGTTCTTCAGTGGTCAGGACCCCCATGGACCCTCACAGAGCAGGTACTATTTGGGTGGTGGATCATTCTCAGCACTGCAGTAACACTGACGTGGTGGTGGTGTGTTAGTGTGTGTTGCGCTGGTCTGAGTGGATCAGACACAGCAGTGCTGCTGGAGTTTTTAAGCACCTCACTGTCACTGCCGGACTGAGAATAGTCCACCAACCAAAAACATCCAGCCAACAGCGTCCTGTGGGCAGCGTCCTGTACTTGCTCTGTGAGGGTCCATAGGGGTCCTGACCACTGAAGAACAGGGTAAAAGGGGGCTAACAAAGTATCAGAGAAACAGATGGACTACAGTCTGTAACTGTAGAACTACAAAGTGCACCTATATAGTAAGTGGAGCTGATAAAATGGACAATGAGCGTAGAAACAAGGAGGTGGTCAGAATGTTACGCCTGATCGGTGTATTCACCAAGAATAACCTACCTAGAAAGAAAACATGGATTTATATGCACACATTTATGACATATTTCCGAATTCCCGAGGACGAGTTTATATCTGATCCTTGTTGGCCAAGTAGCTGTTGATGTTCTAGAGATGTTAACATTCTTCCCTGATATTTCCGAAGACATGTTAACAGGTCACCAATGTATTGAACTTGGGCCAATATTACTTCTATGTGTTATTTAGGAAAGGGTGCATTTAGTGTAGTCTAAACTTTGGACAGAGGGCTACTTTAAAGAACAGCCTGCATTAATCATTTCATCATTTTGAGACAATGTGCAACTTATGCATGCAACCTGTGGCTGATAGTCTTAATCACTACGTACAGTTTAACTTAGTAATAGTTAATATTTTGTGCAGCATCAAAGGTGATCGATAACAGTGCTTCCTTCCTCAGAACAGCTGCTCTACTCTGAATTATAAACAGCAGTAGTATAGTTAAGGTAAAGCCACCTCTTGGTACATTTTCAGTGATTAGCAAAATGTTTGTTATGGTCTTATATGATGACGACTGTTGCAGAACTTACATAATCTTGTTCCTTATATCAGCGTATTAGATAGTGCTCTCCAATATAGTGAGTAAGGTGCCGTTTCAAACACGTGGAATATCTCACATATCACTGGTGACCCCTGGTGTCACTGCACTGCTTTTCTTTATTTGGTTTTGTTCAGTTGCTCACATGATATGTCTGAAGCCAACATCTATCCCAAACCTCGCGCTGCTTCTATGCTAACTGAAGCATAAATCTTGAAATGGCCACTGTCTATTATCGTTCGTATCAAACCATGTATTCCGTAGACTAACAGTTAAATTCATGAGCTTTTCTCTGTGACTTTAACTGGAAACTTTGGTGTCTGAAGAATGAAATGTTTTCATAATACAAGGTCATTCAAACCTAATTAAAATCAATGGAACTGCATGTAGTCTAAGCCAGCTAAGATGTGCAGCGAGATGTGGGCTCTTTTTATAATCAACATCCAAGAACAATCTTTTATAATCAACACCCAGTTGTCTCCTGTGTTGTCTTGGCAATGCTTTCTAGTCTTTTTCCAAGTTCTGTCAGCGCTCATTTCAAAAACGAGTTCAAATTAAGCTGAGCCATTGTTGCTTTAAATCTTTCACACCTACATTCTAGCAGCCAATGCGACAACCCCAGCCTACTGCGAAATGAAGAGATTTGTTCAAGGATAGATATAAGAGTTGTGTGTGCAATCCCAGGCTGCTCGCTTTCTCTTCAAGAGCTTCTCTGATGTGTGGATGGATTTCAGGACCTTGTTTGTTTGCTTACCTTTCTCGGCCCCCCTGCTTTCATTTCATAAATGTCGATAGTGTAGTTTGATCTGCGCCCGAAACTGTCAAACTGGATATTGCCCGTCATCCCCTGCACTTGCACCTGCCAACAAAAAAAGTCAGGACGAAACCAGACGGAATAACAGGCAGAGCTCAGAGCCTCCATGGGCAAATGGAAAGTGGTGGCGCACGGCAAATAGAGTCATTTATAGCAGAATGGCAAGCTGGGCTCGCTTGAATAACTCATTTTGATGAGCTGAATTGCAGAGTATGAGATTATGGCAATGGCGAGAGGCATATTCATATGAAGCTGCAGAATAAAGTGGAGATATAGAGTACAGAGTAATTTTTTTAGCTCCCAATCAATATTCAAAAAAATACTTGCACAGAATATTATGTGCACAATGTGGACAAAAGTATTGGGACACCCCATTCTAATTATTGAGCTCAAGGTTTCAGCCACTCTTATTGCTAACAGGTGGATAAAACCTATTTACCCTGTGGGGAACATTACTGTTCTCCGGAGGTACCGGAACGCCTCGGCTGAATGATTTTCCATTTTTCATGGGCTTATTGGTTTACACTCACATAAAGACATAAGTTATGATAACTTATTTAAAATAAGCGAATGGCGGTTATAAAATAATAATAATAATAATAATAATAATAATAATAATAATAATATGACCGTTTTTCATGAATGTTTTTAATACTCTGTGCCTGAATTCTTAGAAAATGTATGGGGGGACAAAAAGGTACTCTGTTGGTGAACTGAAGAGGCTCACCATTTTTAAGGCCCTCTCGATGTCGATGCCTTGGCTCCAGGGGACAGCCGGGTTGGCCAGGCAGTCTCCAGCGCTGCCCCGTCGTGACACATCCACCCGCTGCCGCCGGAGGTACCGGAACGCCTCGGCTATCACCAAGATGGCATCATAGGACAGTGCAGAGGTGTACTGCACAGAGAAATGTGAGTTGAGTAACTCCGCCCCCTTTAGCATGCAGGAAAACACATATCTGAACAGCAGTGCCTTCAGGACTAGAGTTGAGGATCTCGTCTACAGTTATTTGTGTCATTCTGCTTTACCATTTAGTTGTAATAATGTAATACATAATTAATTACACTGTGAGATACGTGATAGGTTGAATTTGTGTTTGATTTACTCTTTATATCAACAGGTTCATTCTGTTTGTACCATCACATAAAAGTGGATGCTGATTTTTGTTCTGTATGAGGGGCGGAGCAGGCTAGGAGTGTTGGACAGAGAGCTGTCAATCAAGCTGCACTTTGACCACACCTACACAGCTCTCAGAGAGGTCTGATCAATGGTTTTTAAGCCATGTTTCGTGATATCTATACCTTGTGTTTTTCATTTAGGTTTTGCTGGATGTTTAATATCATTCATATAACACTCAAGTTTAGTATCATATAAGCAATTTTAATATTTTACTCTGTGTTTCCCTGGACTTTAAGCTGGTCATACACTACATCATTTTTAACCTGATTTAACCCTGATTTTCCCCTTTCAACAAATGTTCACAAGCGATTTTCCAGGTCAGGAGCTCAATCGAAAGTGACTGATGACATGAATGATCTGGTAGTGTGAGAGAGGGAACGAGTGAATCTTTAGCCTTCCCATCTTTAGGGATCTAATGCTCACCACGTGGCCACGAGGGACTGGGATGCAGCCTCACTTCCTGCTTTAAAATACAGGGATGTGGCTAAAATAAAGCTCCGCCTGTGGACTAAAGCTTTTTGTGTTCCGGTAGTGATATTGTTTTACTTTGTTTAAATTTACATGTGAACGTCAACTTTAAAAGAAATCAGAAAGATCTTTTGACATAAAAAATGCAAACAATTTAATATTATTTTGAAATTATATTATATTATTTGAAATTTAGGGGTTATGCTTTGGGAAAGACAATAGAAAGTAACCCATAAATAATGATTTTTTTTGTATTTAGCATATTACTATCTCAATTAAGGCCTTTGTTTTTAATAATTATAACATATGAACATATAATGTATCTGAAAACTTATTTTTAATATCATTATTTATTTGTCGTTTTTTAGTTTTTGACATAATTTGAAAAGACACGTTACCTTTTACATTGTGTGTAAATTCCGAAACGGCCCAAAATGACTTGGAATAAATTCTGGTTCCATTGACTTACATTAAAAATAAAGTAGGTTTTTTCCTTCTCCTGTAAATTTTGTAATTTTGGAGATACGAGGTTTTCTTCTGGGTGAACACAGTTTGAACTGATTCAGTAGAATCTCCCTTAATGTTTATAATATATGGACCCAGGCATTGATTCAGTTTGATTCAGTTAATTGAATAATGCTCCAGTTCTGGCTGTAGTAGAGAATGATATCTGTGTTTCTTTGTGTTTTCACTGCCTTCTTGTATGAGCATAAAAGCACAACCGTCCAGTTCAGTTTAGCTTTATTTCTTTCCCATGATTCTGAGCAGGATTTGTGCTTTTAAGTGATTTCCACTCTCTGCCTAAACGTCTAGAGTGTGCACCCTCATGACAAAAAGACGAGAAATTCTATAAAAGGCTGAGTGTGTTAAGTGTGTGATGCTCTCCATTTTACAACCCTATTAGGATTTTAAACATTACATATATAATATCATGTCTGGCTTTACTTGTTTCAGTGAAACATGAGTGAGAATCATATCGCTGGTGGTAATTGCTTCTGTGGGCTAACTAAGTCTGTGCACTAGCTTCCACATCATTCAGGAACGCAGTAAAAATGAACTGCCCTTTTTCTATGTATGTAGCCTACATTGCTGTGTGTAGTATAATTGCAATGTATCGCAACATATAATCATAACTGGGCCCCACATTCAACAGAGGGAAGACGCATTTCAGAGAGAAGACACCATTCAGCACTGCTTTACATAGATTTACAAAAGTGTATTGTTTTGTCTTTGCGGAAGAGGCTTTAAATTGGATTCTAATTATAGTGAAATGTAAAGTGTTTGGCTTTGTGAGGAGCGGGGTTTCAGGGCTATTGTTGTTCGGGGCGACACCTGTAATTACGCTGCATCTCGCTGAACCAGCTCGGAACACGCTGGCATCCACTAATTTGCAGTGAGCAATGCTTTTTTGTTTTCTTTTATTTCCTCAAAGCTTACTTAGGGATTCTAGCATCTTATATCTGGCGGCCAATTTAAGGAACACAGTGTCGGGGTGAGCTTCCATTCTTTAGTCTGAAGATTCACAGGCAAGGTGTTCCTTCAGCTACCGTTAGACGGCTGGAAAATTGCGGAATATGTTAGCATGTGGTTATATTTGTGCGCCAGTGTGCATTTACTTCATCTCCAGACCAGCAAACACAAATATCGGATAATTACTTTGAAGCATTCTGTGCAAAGCGTGGACCTAGAACCTTCTTTGACCTGTTTACCAGTTTGATGAGAGACATCGTTCTTTACTCATCCCTTCACAGCTAAACTTAATGAAGTGCCACTTAAAATCTATTCTTTTGCTGATTATTGTTTAATTAGATGTAAATTGAGGCTCTGGTTTTAACGCAGCCTTGAACTGGACCGTCGATATATTGACCGCTGTGAGGGGGGAGGAGTGAAGCAAATGAAGGTGGATGGGAGGAGAGGAGGAGGAGATAAAAGAAACAGAGAAAGGATGGCAGGGAAGGAAGGCAGAGGTGACAAGAGTAGGAGAGTACAGAAGAGAAAGAAAAGAGAACGCAGACAGGAGAAGATAGAAAACAGAGAGGCTGTCGAGGAGAGAAGATTGCGCTTCTTGTTTTTCGTTCCTGACTATGAAAGGCTCACCTTCAGAGGCGTGTTCCGCGCCTCTGGGAATTCCCTTTCATCTAACCGGTCCCAGCGCTGAAGGAACTGCTGCACAATGGGGTTTTCAGGATTGATTATTTGAAAGCCACTTATGTTTGCGCCGCCGAAGTACACCTTGTCCAGACTCACATTGGAGAAGCCCTGAAAAGAGAAAGAAAGAGACTTACAATGCTGGTTGCAGGACAGAACAGGGGGAATCTTGTTCATAAAATGGAAGAACTTATCATAATGTTGCAGAAAATTGCTGTTACAGCTACAAATGGGTGCCCTAGCATAGAATAACTGTAGGCAAATATTGATAAACATAGTGGCAAGAACCAATAAACAGTGATCTAAAAAGCTTTTAAGCAGTTTAACTGAATTGTTTGCATTATTCTTCTTATAATCCATGGATTCCAATTTCCCGAATCACTATGAATGTTCCTCAAGGCTTTTGAACCTCTTCTAACATTTAAATACAACTGATATTAATTTATATATCGCTGCTGTTGGAAGAAAACCTCGTATCTCCATTTTTGTTGTTTTTCAGTTTTTGACATCATTTGAAAATGCCTCTTGTCCTTTATATTGTGTGTAAATTTCATCGTGAATGGACTAAAAGAAATGACCCAGAATGCCTTGGGAAAACGTCTGGTTCCATTGACTTACATTAAAAGTAAAGTAGGTTTTCTCCTTTTCCTGTAAAGTTACCATTTTGGAGATACGAGGTTTTCTTCCGACAACAGCGATATGCATATCTATCTATCTATCTATCTATCTATATATATATATATATATATATATATATATATGATATACTTCAAAACAGCAGAGTGTAAATTTGGGGATTTGAAGGCTTGTCTGGTGGAAGTATGTAATTGCAAGCTAACAAACGTGGAAATTAGCATTATTGTTAGCATTACGTTAAGCTAGTGGTGGTGTACATTCACATTTTATGGCAGAACATTTGTGATATGTAACCGACGTTAAAGTAACCTGCATTTTACTCTCTTAGCAAAAATGGTTATTTGAAATGTAACAGTTGCGAGAGCCCTTTTGTTGCCTTTTTAAAAGGGTTCTTTAGAGAACCAAATAGAACTGATTTTCCATGATGGAGAACCATCTGACTAAACAAAGAACAATTTATGCATTCAGATGGTTCCCTGAGTGTTCTGGGTAGAACCATTGCCTTTACTAAAGAACCCTTGCGGAACCAAGGAATTGTGTTACAGTGACTTACTTGACATGTCTTCATTCTTCTGTATACTGGACAGTGTTATTATCCACTATGCTGTCAATAACTCAGTCAATAACTCTATGTTGGCACCCACTGCACTGCGTAATGGAGGAAGAGGGAGGACCGTCTACTCACCCAGAGAAAAAAGACCAATTATGCTCTCTTTGCCTCCCTAACGGAAGGCTGGGGCATCATCAGTAGTGCAGACTTAGGCTCTGTTCACACAGCAGGTAAAAGTGGCCCAAATCTGATTTTCTCAACAAATCTGATGTTTTTGTTTGGCTGTTCAGATTATCTTTAAATGTGATCTGTATGGGTCATCAGTCTGAACAGATCAGCTCCTAAACTGACCCACATGCACAGAAGAACAGAGCGTCACGCTGCTTCACGGCTCATCCAGAGGTAAACAATCACGACCGCCAACGAACGCCAGTCGCTCCCGGAGGATCAGCTTCATCTTCACCAGCATCACAGGAGCCATCATGAAGCTGCACTGACTGACAGCTGGGCTCATCACCCAGAATGTGTTCGAGCCGTAAAAAGGGCGCGGCCACTTCTTTGGTTCGTGTCCTCAGATTTAACTGTTCTTTGATGCTGCAGCCTCGTTCTCCTGCGGCCGCGTTCGGACATTTCCTTCAAAATCTCTTCAAACACGGAGAGTTTTGGATGAGTCTCTTCTAATTTTTTGTACAGAAACATCAGCCTAAATGTTTATGAGTCTCAGCAGCGCAAAATTATGACGAATGTCGAGTTGGATTGACGTAAAAGTCGCATGAATTCTGATATGGCTGTTCAGACTGAGTTGCAGTGCTGCATATCGGATTTCAGTACCACATATGAAAGCGTCTCAAATCGGAATTGAGAATGTCAGATTCAGTGTGTTTATCTGTTCAAACTGACACACAGACACACATCTGTGTCACACATGAAGAAAAAGATCAGATTTGGGCCACTTTTACCTGCTGAGAGAACAAAGCCTTAAAGTTGACTTGAAGTTGAGGTTGAAATATCAGTGCTTATCAGTGCCACCATTACAAATATTTAGTATGTAGCAATTGCCTGGATTGATAGGCTGTTTCTTCAGTCAACTGCCCAACCTTGGAGCAACAATGCCATGTTTTTGACAACTGCTCTGCTTTTGACTTTATCAAATGCCATGTTGTTGACAACAGGCTAATAACGGTGGAGGGGTGGGGGCGGTCCTTGTCATGGCCAAACTGTCTCTCAGCATAACACTGTTTTTCAGTGGATCGTAGCGCATGTGTGACTGACACCATGTCTTTTTTAAAGTCAAGTAAAGTGACAGGTACAAGGGGCTATGCTGAGGGTGCCATGTAGCGCATTGCCATCTCTTTATTCCAGACTTAAAGAGTTACGCCTACTCGCAGTGCCGGTTTTCTATTCTTTTCTAAACATCCCTCCCCGACTGGAGCACAGCATGTTCCTTCCCTTTCCCACTAGGGTTTAAAAAAAAACTCTGCATAGACTCACCAGATTGGCAAGGATGTAGTGGTAGCCTCGGCTGTTCTTGCCCAGGGTTACGACCTGTGGGTGAAGAATCAATAAGAGTTAGCTGTCCATGTTAAAAAAGCACCACCGTGCACTCAGGTAAGCTCTACTGGGTGCATTCGCATAGCAGACTCTCTTAAACACAGCGGCGGCTTCCTGCGAGGTGACAAAGGAGCTCAATGCTGATGGATGTCTCTTCTCGCTGGGAGGGCTGCCTCAGGTGTTGCCATGCTGTGAAAAACAAGCCTTGCTTTAACTGGAATACGTGCTTTTCTATGTTCCCAATATAGTAGGTATGAATACATATCGTACACAGGTGTATAACCAAGTAGAAAATGGGGACACTTGGCTTTTCAAAATAATTTTAATACAAATGAGCTTGACTTCTTAGTCAGGGTGCGAAAACATATATCAGACACTGAGAGTTATCACTTTGGGTACTATTTCAATGTAATTGCACAAACACATGATTATTTATTGTCAGTTACATAATGAATTGCATTTGTATCTGATTTACATGCTGTATTGACAGGTTTGACTCTGCACTTTCAACCTTTTTCAGTTTGTTTTGATGTCAATACTTGGGAAAAATGGAAAAAAGGATTGGTTTTTATCTAAAAAGGAAGACAGGAATATTTCGTTAAATTCAAATTATAATAAATACCTCATCTGCTGTTTATGAACACCAGTGTGCAGTTTTGACAGAATGTCTGTGCTACAAGTGAGAATTAAGCCATATCAGATTATAGCTTTTATTATCTCTAGCGATAAACATTAACAATTGGTTAAAGACTAACTAGGTTTCTTTTGAGGTAAACGATATAATGTAAATACTGATGACAATATTAGTGACAGTGCTACCTTGAGAATAATGTCTAACCTCACACATTTTATCCACTCAAATGTAGGTGTTTAGACCACCTTTTAAGGCAAAAGATGTAGAATATGTGCTTTTAAAGTCCAATGATTTTAGAATGTTTCTGTATAGCTAAATTGTGTAGTTATGAATTTTATGCCTCTAATAACCACAAAATAACTAAAGTATTTTGAATGACATAGTGATGAATACACTGCCTGCAGCCTTAGAGATTATTTTATGATATTTAGCAATGACGTTTTGGTATAGAATGTATTTTTAAAAGCTATTTATGGCATACATGCTGGGTGATTTCATGCCAAACAGTCCTTAAGGAAAAAGGAAAACATGTTCATATTAACCACTACTTTATCATTATCAGCGCATCGCTGTTGTCGGATCAAAACCTTGTATCTCCAAAATGGTGACTTTACAGGAGAAGGAAAAAACCTACTTTACTTTTAATGTAAGTCAATGGAACCAGAATTTTTCCAAGTCATTTTGGGCTGTTTCTTTTGGTCCATTCTTCATGAAATTTACAAACAATGTAAGGAGCAACAGGCATTTTCAAATTATGTCAAAAACTGAAAAACAATAAAAATGGAAATGAGGTTTTCTTCCGACAGCAAACGATATATACAAACTCAGAAGACACTTATAGATTCACCGGTTGTTTTGGATAATTAAGAAATGGCTATATTTGCATATTTTTAAACATTGCAACATTGCTCCCATCGCTACCAAACACAGAACCTTGCAGTCTTGATAGACAAACACTGGCAGTAGAATTGCTTGTGCTGAAGAGCTCAGTGACTGTAAAGGTGGCTCTGTCATAGGATGCCACCTTTGCCACAAGTCAGTGAAATTAGTGCTAGATCTACTTTGCTCAACTGTAAGTGCTGCTGTGAAACGAAAACATCTAAGCATCCTTGGGTTTGTGAAAGGCTCTATAGAAATTGAACTTATTCTTGTTATTATTATTAATATGGTAACACTTTACTGTAAGGTACAGTTCATAAGGCTACACGACACCCACATAAGCTTGTCACGACAACTGACATAACTCTACATAAATGTTTATTAATGCTAAATCCAACAGGCATCACCTGTCAAACTTGGCTACTTTAGCCAAGTTTGATCAAAATTGGCAAATGGGTCATTCTACAGAAACATCCGCTTTTCTATCTCTCCATAGGAGTCACTGGTGTTACCGATCCTCTTTGGTGTTACACATAAGAAAGGTGACACCAGAGACATTTTTGATAAGAAAATTGTTACCATTATCATTAACTAAGAACAACAACTCAGCCATGAAGCTGTAGACCACACAAGATCGCACCGTGGGCCACCGAGGGCTGAAGTGCACAGTGTGTAAAAATCGCCTATCCTCTGGGATGACCAATAAGCTCATACAGGTGTGACGGTCAGGTGAGCTGTATATTGTAGATTGTGTGTAAGTTGTGTTTACCAAATGTTATACATATCCAGAAATGTCCTACATGCTTCAAGACATTTCATAGTTATAACCATAACTGTTCATAGGCAGTTAATGTAATGTCATTGTAGCTTTGTGTTTGGTTTGTGCTGAGCCGGTGACCCAGATGCCGCTTGCTCAAATTCCTCCAAGTTTGCCTTCAAATTAGCAAAAAAGCTGAATGAAGCTGTGCCTGGCTCCTAGCTGACGTGGCTGAGGGATCGCCGTGTGTTTTCCATGTGACAGGAAAGTCACATGAGGGAAGAGAGCTTTATTCATCTGGCTGCTGAAGTAGGTCAGTCCATTCTGACAGTGACAACACCGCAAATTCACATTATGCTGGGGCGAGTGTCTGAAGGGGAAGAGTGTCGAGAGCGATGGAACGAAGAGGGCCAAGAGAGAGATGAGAAAGAGAGATGATGGAAAGAGATGAGGGCGTATTGACACAGGGAGGACGGAACCATTGATGCTGAGCAATGACTTGCAAAAAACTAGGAGTTATTACAGTCGTTTTGTATTGTATCGTTAAAATGTAATTACGCAGTTACATGTTTAATTACACAGTTAACTATACTTACATTTGACATACATTCTGTAGCAACAGGTTAGATTTCTGACTTATAATATTTGATTAAATGTGAAACTCACCAGAGATTAATGTTTTTTTAAATTACGCAAAATCAGACCGTATGCAAAACATTAGTAATAATAAGCAACAGTAATTAGGAATAAAACCAGTTGGTTACTGACGACTCAATGCTCTGTACATTTTTGCGTCACCCCTATTTTAACATGATGGCTCAACCCATCAACTAACCATCAAGCACATAGTGGGTCAGGGCTGTGACAGCAGGGAAAGCATGAAGAGGTGGTGGAGAATGATGTCCTCAGCACTGAGACTGGAAAGCACTGGCTTTCCCCAACAACTGACCCATGCTCCGCCCAAATGTGTTCTTTCATAGCTACTGTTGGAAGTTAAATAATGTTTGCAGAACACTGAAAAAATACATTCAGCATAATGGGAGATTTCCTTTATTTGAATCTGTTGCTTACATCGTGTCAAGGCAACATATCATCATGCTTTCTGTTTTTACTAACCTTTTTCTCTCTTATCTTGGTAGGAGTTGAGCATAAACACAAAGATGACGTATCAAATGTTGAAACTGAGAAATTGTATATTTTTTTGAAAAATATTTGCCCATTTTGAATTTGATGCCAACAGCACATTCCAAAAAAGTTGGGACAGGGGCAACAAAAGACTGGTAAAGTTGTGTAATGCTAAAAACACACCTGATGGTTGATTGGCAACAGGTCAGTCACAGATTGGGTATAAAAGGGCATCTCAGAGAGGCGGAGTCTTTCAGAAGTAAAGATGAGGAGGGGTTCGCCACTCTGTGAAAGACTGCACCGTCAAATAGTGCAACAATTCAAGAACAACTTCTCAACATAAAACAGCAAAGAACTTTTGCTTTTCATCATCTACGGTACATAATAACATCAAGCGATTCAGAGAATCTGGAGAAATCTCTGTATGTAAGGGTCAAGGCCAAAAACCAGTATCTGCTGGCTGTGATCTTTGGGCCCTCAGGCAGCGCTGCATTAAAAACAGACATGATTCTGTAGTGGAAATCACTGCATGGGCTCAGAAACACTTCTGAAAAACACTGTGAAAACAGTTCGTCGCTGCATCCACTGCTCATTTAAAATGGACTGAGGGGAAGTGGAAAAGTGTCCTGTGGTCCAACGAATCAACATTTGAAATTCTTTTTGGAAATCATGGACACTGTGTCCTCCGGGCTAAAAACTTAGGACAGAATTAGTAAAAATATTTTGAAAAAGTAGTAATGGTTGAATACTGAATACACTGTCCTAAATGTATTCAGTAATGTATTCCATTACAATACATACAAAAGTTCTGTATTCAGAATACATTTATAATAAATTTACAATTCATATTGAAAAAAGTCCATGAGATAAACTCTGCCGTATATTTTATTTAATTCACACTGTTCTTCTTGGTTACTGGTTGGTGTTCAGTTCAGTTATCCCACAAAGGAGCTGACTAAAGCTCAGAATAACTGGCTCATCACAGTGATTTATCAGGCTCTACTCAGGATCTTCAGTGTTTGTGAAGAAGCCTTTTTTTGAGTTCTTCTTCAGAGAGCGCCTGATTTTAAAACAGTTACTTAACAAGCAGTGATGTTTCTTTGAAGGATGGTGAATATATTTTTAAACGTATAGGTAAGTATCCTAAAATTTCCAAGACTGGTTTTTGGTATTCACTAAGTCTGTAGTACAAACTCCGAAGCGCTGTGTAATTATTTTTGGTAAAATGATGTTAAATACCAAATTAGTCTATCTAAATTATAATGAAACCATGATCAGCTTCCAGCTATCAAGCTGAGAAAGAGTGAAGTAAAATGTCTCATAATTATTTAGAGTAACAAGGTGGTAAGTACAAACATAACGTCACACTCCACAAAGGGAAAGTTATTCAGTTACATGGCGTAAAATGACAGCACAACATACAAAGATACTTTTCTGAAGTAAATAGTAAAGCAAATAAGATGTTGACTTCAGCTTCGTGTAAGAAGGTTCTAACGGTAATCTATTATGAATATATACACGGATTGAGTAATGCTATAACTTACCGCTACAAAGCTTTAACCAGCATTATAAATAAATAACTACTACATAAAGTTCAGA